TCTAATTGATGCAAATGCAAAAGGCCACAAATTGACACTTTATTTATCGTGAACTATAATAAAAACTTCGCATGGCTCAAATAAAACTCCCGCTTAATAGTGCAGATGATTTGTAATTCATAGAGTTATCAATCTTATCTAACTAAAGTCATTAATTAATGTTTTAACTATGTTAAATATATTAAATTATTAAAAAAATATTCATTGTTAATTCCAGTAACAAAAGCAACAGAACAGTTTTGAATTAAATAAGTAATCTTTACTATTTGTAACAATTATTATATTATTCCATGATATAAACTACTATTCAAAAGTGTTTGATTAGTAAGAGTTAAAAACAAAATTATAAAATGAATACAAAGAAACTAATATAACTTTTGAAATATCTATTCATCAAAGAATCCTAAAAAAAATGTGCTGCGGTTTCCACAAAAGTATTAAGCAGTGCAGCCATCTTCAATATCGATAATAATATCAAGAAATGTTTCTTCAACTCCATATCAGATTAGAGTGATTTCTGAAGGATCATGTGACACCTAAGACTTTATATACATCATATAATAATAGCTCATGTGTGAACAGGTGTATGGGATCTCAGCTGCTCGTGAAAGCTACGGTTTAAATTATTATACAGTTTTATGGTGTGTGTGTGTGGTTCAGGTATTCCTTATTGTGGGGAAAAAATGTCCCCATAGGTATAGTAACACCAGAAATGTGTGATTTTGTTGAAACATTGTTTGGTCCCCATGAGGAAAACAACTTGTGTTTTTTGCATAAAGTTTTCTGTGATGGGTAGGTTTAGGGTTAGGGTATAGAATATGCAGTGTGAATAGTAAAGATAACAGTAAGTTAGAACAGTATGAAGAGTAAAAATCACTATGTCTATTTAATGTCTGCATAAAACATGAAAACCTAATGTCTGTGTGTGTGCGTGTGTGGGTGTACAACTCACCTGTACATGGTCCTGAGCGTTTGACAAATCGAACAGGGAGAAACTGAGTCTCTCTTTGCCACTGTGTTCTAAACCTGTAAAAAAAAAAATCAATTTTAATCTTAGGAAAAGTATTGTTGATTCAGATTATTTTATTATGTATAAAAAATGATTCCATTCAAAATGTCTTCATCAGTTTGATATTTTAATTGTGTCATGCTCAGCCACTGAAAACAAAGCATTAGAATCATCTGAATGTGGCTGTCAACAATGCAATCTGGGACATTGTCAGAGCAAATCTGCCATGAACAATAGGGAATTTAGGAGCAGGAATAAAACAGAAGGATTATGCAAAGGTGTGTAGGAACGTAAATATTTGAGTTTACATAATGAGACGTTACGTAGTGAATGATGCTACGAGGTAATGAAATGAGGCAGTAAATCCACTCTTTAAACATCATGCACAGATAATAAATAAAAGGAATATTGTTCCATGTAATGTCTGGCTTCGTGTTTTAGGCAGATTGAAAAGTATTTTACCTGTACCAGGGGTGTTGTTGGGTCTGTTTTTCAGATTGGGCCGTCTCAGTGAGCCTGGTGACACATAGCTGATCATATGACTGCTGTTTAAGTTCATATCAGAGTCAAACATCCTTTGACTGGCTCCTGCGAGCTCTGCCTTCCTTTCTGCATAAGTGCTCCTTGTGGCACCTGAAATCAATCATATACAATTTGTAAACACAATTGTGATTTAATCAAATAAATAAAATAATGTGATAAACATATAAATCTCATCTGAGTAATGTTGCTTACTCTGTTGCCCGATGTTGTAGCCAGAGTACTGCGCCCCTCTCGGCTGGATGTAGGAGGGTTTGAAGTTTGGTATGATGAATGGAACCTCCCGGCCGTCCGGAGGCAGTTTAGACAGGAGATAATCCTCTGATAAACCAATGTCATTCCTCTTTACAGTAGACTCAGCAGTTAATTTAACAGGAGGTCGAACCTTAATCACTAAAAAATATACAAATATATATCTTTCATAATTCATGTATGTATTAGTATTGATGTGTGTGTATATATATATATATATATATATATATAGTTTGAATGCATAATTTAATCTTCAATCGTGAGAAAGTGATGGGGAGAGAGAGGGGGAGAGAGAGAGAGAGAGAGAGAGAGAGAGAGAGAGAGAGAGAGAGAGAGAGAGAGAGAGGGGGAGAGAGAGAGAGACTCACTCTGAATTTCTGGTTCTTTCTCCTTGGACATAAACGTCCTGCAGCAGTTTTTGAGACACTGTGTCATGTTGAGGATCTACACACAGCAATCACATGAATGGTCCACTTTAGACATTCTACTAAATATAAGTAACTTTGCAACTAAATGTCAACTACGAGTCATATGATTGTTAGTAGACTGTCTGCTTAATCTGCTAACACATTATTTTGATGGTCCCACAACAGACAGATAAACAACTTTGCAAGTGTAACGGGCATAGGCCAGTGAGAGCTGCGTGTGTAAACCTCACTACCCTGATCTCAAGAGGTGCTCTAGCAACTGATGCTAGCGGCTGCGGTCTTTAGTCTCCTTTTAAAAGATCCTGCCTCCAACACCAGAGACCCCGCTCAGAGTGGGTCGAGTAGGACTGGTTACATTTGGTGCCGTGACCCGGATGAGAGTGAGGTTTAGGAGAGTGAATCTAAAGGACATACTGTAGGCCAGTGTGTGTAAACCTCACTCCCCAAACCTCAAGAGGTGTGCTAGTGGCTGTGGTCTTCAGTGTCCCACGCCAGTGACCCCGGATCGAGTCGAGTAGGACCGATTACATGTCAACTTACATGTCAACTTACTCTACTAACCCTAACGTGTCTGCTAATACTGAGTTAGTTGAAATGTAGGGCCAAGAAACCAAATAATTATATAAGAATGTCAAACAGTCAACAACAGAATTCTGAATTCACAACATTTGCAACAAAATGTCATTTCCATTACTTGTTCTGTGTTTAATACAATTTTGTGGTGGAAAAGATTAGGCTATGATAGAAATTGTTTTAGAATAAAACATCCGACTCCTGTATTGCCAAGGATTAAAGCTTAAATGGAAGTGACACAATAAAAAATATTTTGTTCAAATTCATTCAGTCACTTGTGATGCTGATGACCTTGGTTTTTCACATTTCAGATTTTTTTTAAACCTTGATGTCTTCACCTCATAAGCATATTTTTCACAGGCACTGTTATTTAAATAAAGTTTGAGCAAAGCTTATTAATGGCAAAATTGGTTGTTGTGTTGGAAATGACCCCACAACTAAGGCACATTCATAATGAAATCATTTGCATCATACATTAAATATTTCACTAACAATTTATTTCAGTTTAGATTATCGACGTTGTAGCCTACTCCAATTTTTATTATGAATTCTCATAGTAAGATAAGGGACAAAAGTAAACATTACAACATAAAATACTGGTACTTTCCTATACTTTTTGGGAAATTAGCAAAAATAAATGACCAACGAAAGGGCAAAAAGTTCCCACATAGTTTTAATTTAATTTCTTTAATTTAACAACAGGGCACTACGAAAAAAGAAATACACAACATAAGCAATTTAATAAAAGTAAAATTATTTCAACAATTAACATTAAAGAAATGTTCCTTTATAACCAAGAAAACCATGTTTGTGTTAAATGAATCAAGCTTTTGCCCACATACCTGTGCTGCTGTCCGCGAGGAGCTGAAATCTCTGAGCTCGCGAGTGCAGCAGAGCAGGTGCATCTGTCTGAGAAGCCTCCACTGAGCGACAACACTTCTGCCAAAGGTTGGGTCCTAGTGCCCGCCGGGGCGGGTTTATGCAGTATTGGGACACTTTTTTGACATAGAGACAGTACAATTTTGGTGACTCGCCCCTCACTCTCTCTCTCTCTTTAATGTTTTTGTTATAATAGCCTAATTGTCTAATTTTATTAAACACCTTGCTATTAAGTTTAATCACAGGTTAATTCACTGAAAAATGTCAGTAATTACTCACACTTCCAAAGCCATAAGTCTTTTGTTAATCTTTGGAACACAAATGAATGATGATCTTTTTTGATGAAATCTGAAGATTTCTGTCCCTCCAGACAGCTACGCAACTAGCCTACCACTTTGACGCTTCAAAAAGTTCATAAAAAGATCGTAAAACTAATCCAGCATGAATTGTGCAGTTTAGACTTAATTTTCTGAAGAGACTCAATCGCTTAATGTGACGAACAGATTGAATTTAGGCTTTTGTTCACATATAAACATTGATCAATGGACACAACAGTTGAGGTAAACAGAAGCTCAAGAATGTTCGCTTGACATGAACCAATGTGGTTCATTCTTGTGTTACGCAGCACGTTTGAGCTTCAGCAAGAACCAGATGAGGTTCATTCTCATTTCAGGTTTGAACTTCAGCAAGAACCAATGTGGTTCATTCTTGTGTGTTACACAGCACGTTTGAGCTTCAGCAAGAGGTTTGGGGTGGTGATGGCACAGTGGATAAGACACATGCCTTTGGTGTGAGAGACTCGGGTTCGAATCCACTGTGAGACACCCATGTGTCCCTGAGCAAGACACTTAACCCCAGATGCTCCAGAGGCATGTAACCTCTGACATATATAGCAATTGTAAGTCGCTTTGGATAAAAGTGTCAGCTAATTGAATAAATTTTTAGTTTGTTCTCGCGCGCCAAGCAGGTTTGGTTGAGCCTCTGTTTATTTCCACAAACCAGTGTTTAAATTTGAATAAAAGCTTATATTAAATATGTTTATAAACTCTCTTCAGAAAATTTGGACTAAATCGTTCAGTTCATATTTTTACGTTTTCTTTATAAACTTTTTGAAGTGTCAAAGTGGTAGTTGTGTCTGACAGAAAATTTCAGATTTCATCAAAAAGATCTTCATTTGTGTTCTGAAGATGAACAAAAATCTTACGGGTTTGAAACAGCATTAGGGTGAGTTTTCATTTTTGGGTGAACTAACCCTTTAATGGCATAATGTTTCTATGCATCAGTCTAAATTTGTTAAAAGTGAACACAAACAAACAAAATTTCAGGTCATCAAATTTTTGTTTATTGATTGACCAGGCTCTCTTTACCTGTCATATAAAAAAACAGATACACGGAGGAAATTCTGCACAGATGCAATGATAATTTTCAAACAAATAATTTTTTTTTTCTGAAACTTTCCTGGGTCACAGGTGCTGAAGATGCACTGCAGACTCCTGTCAGAGTTATTTAAAAATTGTGAAAATGTGAAAGCCAAGCAGCTCTCTCATTGCTTGGGGTATTCAAAGGTTAAGAAATAATGAAAGCGGCGCTCAAAAACTCACATTCACAGTGAGACAATGTGACACAAGTGTCACTAAAAGTATCGACAAACAAATCCAGCTTTACAAAACAAAAAGGAGAAAAAAAAATTGAAATTGGGGGAAGAAAAAGCACATTGGGAAATACAAACAAATGAGACAAAAGAAACACGACATAAATATTCTTCTGTTTACGGTTACATGTGTGTGACTGCGACAGCCAGGCAGCCTAATTAAAAACCTGCATCATGAAATATCAAAGATCAACACAAGCTCCGCCCACTAGAGAGCAGACAGAAAGAGTGATGACCACATGAGAGTCCAGAACCACAGAACAAAACAAAAAAAAAATGAAGAAATGCAGCTGCCAGTGTAGTGCAGTAACAGGAAGTCCATGATGGAGGTATGGGGCCATGAAGAGGTGAGAGGTCAGAGGTTCATTCATTTGTAAAGCCTCAGAATGGATGTTCGGAGACAAATATTGTGAGGCGGATGATTGAACTGCCTCGGAAGTTGATGACGTTATTAACGGTAACCATCTCTAGGTCTAGAACGATGGTCTTTGGTCCTTTAATGGGCCGGGACAGAACCAAAGTTGCACTGATATTACTGGTTTGCTGTGGTGGAGAGAAAGAAAAGTTAATAAGAAAAGTATGTTTGGTCACACTATTGAGGCTCCAATTCTCACTATGAATTACTATTAACAATGAATTAAGAATTACTGCTTATTAATAGTGAGTAAGGTAGTTGTTTAGGTATTGGGTAGAATTAAGGGATGTAGAATATGGTCATGCAGAATGAGGCATTAAATATGTGCTTTATACAAACTAATAAACAGCCAACATCCTAAAAACATGCATGCTAATAAGCTTCTCGTTAATAGTGAGAATTGGTCCCTAAACTAAAGGGTTACAGTATTTCTATTTCATTTCACAGCACAGTTGTTGAAATGACAATAAATACTTAATGTTTTATATATTAATTCTGATTTTGACAAGATTTCATCATCTTATTCATTAAGGGACACACATAAAGACTTCGTGGTTTGGCTCCAGAGTAATTTTGACTGAAATCCTACAGCTCCCTCTAGTGGTCACCTTTATATATATATACACACACAGGTATATATGCTACTCTTCAAAAGTTTGGGGTTGATAATTTTTTTTTAAAGGTTTTTGACAGAAAAATGGTCTCTTATGCTCACCAAGGCTACGTTCATTTGATAAGAAACACAGTAAAAACACAGTAATATTGTGAAATATTCTTACAATTTAAAAAAATCTGAATTTTAAGCACAAGTCTTCAGTCACATGATCCTTCAGAAATCATTCTAATGTGCTGATTTGCTACGCAAGAAACATTTTGCATAACCAGTGGTGAAAACAGTTCTTCTTCTTAATATTTAACCTAGATATATTTTATTTCAGGATTTAATGAACAGAAAGTAAAAAAAGCCTTTTTTTTTTTTTTGAATGGAACATTTTGTAACATCATAAATGTCTTTAATGCATGCCGAATATTTTTTTTTTTAATTGACCCCAAACTTTTGAATGGTAGAGTAAGTGTTTTACAACAGGCAGCAGATATACAGACAGAAGCCCACTCACTTACCCGCATGTAAAACTCTCGCCCCTCATTGCCAGACTTGATCTGAAAGATGTAAAATGCTCCAGGGTAACGTGTGGTGGCCTGCATCTGAAATATATCAGCAGGAACACTGCGGCCAGAAGACAAATCCATATGCCTGTACAGGATAGTAAAGGGTCTTTCCCGACATGCAGGATTCTCTGCAGAACACATGCACTGACTACGAGAGAAAGAGAAACGTAACATGTTGCATCTGTTCAACAATAAACCGACAAGTCAAATGACTGACTTCATGTTTTGATAACAGCAAACAAGTAGTCTATCATCAGCATTCATAAACTCACTTGTCACTGAGCTCTATGTAAGGTCGGTCACATCTAAGAGGGTCCAGACATGTGTAACCTCCCTGGAAATTGAAACACACTTGTGCTGTTGTACAGGTGTTGTTACCAGACTCACATTCATTGAGATCTTCAAAATCAAACACACAACAGAGTCAGGTTATCATCATTTTCAGCAGCAGCAACAATAACAACAAAACCATCAATGTAAAGGAAGTTCAATTGTGCAGTAGATACAAAATACTCTTGTGTGCATTGTCCAATAGCAACTTGCTAATACCAAACACACATACTATATATTGAGGTCTAAATTGAGGTCCTCATGAGGAAAACAGCTTAAAGATTATACTATGTAATATTTTTTATTTATTCAAAATAGGTAGATAGATAAAATATACAGTTTGTAGAGTATAAAAACCAATACGCCTATGCAGAGTCCCCTCAAAGATAGTGAACCAGACGTGTTTGTGTGTGTGTGTATGACATATTTTAATTTTCTTTGGTTTAATGTGAGAAATATTTCCCCGAGTGAATCTAGAAGGCGAAAGAAACATTTATACAAATATGCACAAGAGAATAAGCACATAATATAAAAATGTAGTTACCTTCACAGCTCCTTCCATCCTCATACACATAATATCCAGAAGGACACACACAGGAGAATGATCCTGGCGTGTTCACACACATGTGCTGACAAAGAAAGTCTGAGAAACTGCACTCGTCCAGATCTGAGAACAATGTATTGATGAAGATAAACACATTACACACTCTCAAAGCACAAACTCACACATACAAATACAGGCAACATGCATCTTAAAAAACCTGTAAACCGGACAGTCCTGTTTTCTATATTCCTTCTTTCCAATCATCTCTTCTCCTCCCCTGTTTACCGTTGCAGGTGGTCCCATCAGAGGCGAGCTCGAAGCCCTCGTCACAGGTGCACATGAATGAGCCGTATGTGTTCAAACAGCCGTGAGCGCATGGGGTTGTCTCACACTCGTCCACATCTGGCGAGAGAGAAAAAAGAAGAAGGAAGAATGAAGAAAGGATGGAAGTGAAAAACAACTTTAAGCTAAACTGTAATGATTGAGTATGTTAATGTGTATGTGTGCACCTTGGCATGTCCTGCTATCTGTATTAAGGAGGAATCCCGGACTACAGGAGCAGGAATATGAGCCAGGGATGTTAGCGCACAGCTGCTGGCAGTAACCATAGCGACACTCATCAATGTCTAAAGAAAGGTGAGTTAGAGAGCACTAAATACACCAAACAATTGTTACAACTGAATTCAACTGTTATGATGTCATGTCATTGAACTGTTAAACAAGTAATTCGATTTTAATATACACTCTTGTACAAAAGTTTAAGGCTGGTAAGATATTGTCATGTTTTTGAAAGAAGTATTTTATGATCACCAAGGCTGATCAAATATAAAAGTGATATTGTGAAATATTATTAATATTATCAATTTTAAAAAATACTGTATTTTTAATTTTAATATATGTTAAAATGTAATTTATTTCTGTGATGCAAAGCTGAATTTTCAGGATCATTACTCCAGTCTTCATTGTCACATGATCCTTCAGAAATCATTCTAATATGCTGATTTGATGCTCAAGAAACATTTCTTATTAACATTGTTTTAACATTGAGCTCATTTTTTTGTACATTTGGAGTGCTGTCAGTACAGACAAAAACAACAAAAATCGGTGTTGACTACACCGTGTTATCTTTTTAATATTCACACCCTGTTGACTTCAATGGGGCATGTTCTAAACCTGCATTTTTTAAGCTTCTTAACATCCTTGATTTGTCACTATGAGTGCACAGCCATGACAGTGGTGTTATTAAGAGTGACCACGGTCAATCTGACTGCAATAGATGTGAAAGATATTAATAAAAATGATGTTAATTCAGCCAGCTCACATTCCTCTATTTGCTTCCTGTTTTCGGTCGAAGCCCACAGTAGTCGATTGTCGATCTCACGCGCGCGATCATTAGTGAATATCTTCTCAAACCTCCTCCGTCACCGTGTGTTCAACATCTGATTAGGATGAACTATCCATTTGAGCTGATATTCTCAGAACACCACACAGTGTTGGGTTTGAGATGATATTCACCAATGATTGCGCACGTGTCGTGAACTCGACAATCGACTACTGTGGGCTTCGACCGAAAACAGGAAGCAAATAGAGGTATTTAAGCTGGCTGAATTAACATCATTTTTATTCATATCTTTCACATCTACTGCAGTTAGATTGACCATGGTCACTCGTAATAACTGTGCACTCGTGCACAGCTGTGCACTTGTAATGACAAATCAAGGATGTTAAAAGGCTAAAATTAGCTTTAGAACATGCCCCATTGAAGTCAACAGGGTGCAAATTTTAAAAAGACAATAACATGCTGTACGCAACACCGATTTTTGACAGCACTCCAAATGTACAAAAAATGAGCTCAATGGTAAAATTGACCTGAGTTCTTCATTAATAGCAATGTTAGAACAGTTTTGCTGGCTAATATCTTTACTTTCAATCAATTTAATGTGTCCATGCTAAATAAAAAAGTATTTGTTTACTTAAAAAAAAATGGATTATTACAGGACTAACTGTGTAATGTAATGTTGTGTCGCTTGGCATTCTGAGTTCACTAATTAAAGCATGTAACATCAAAATAGGGCCAATAGGCATGCGTAATCTTACCTTGGCACTGTCCACCCACCAGCCAATAGCCCTCAGTACATGAGCAGGTATATCCACCGGCTGTATTTATACACACCTGAGTCGGGTTACACTGATGAGAACCTGTCTCGCATTCATCAACATCTAAAAAAAAAAGAAAAGAAAAGAAAGCCACTGTCAGTTCAAGTCACACGACACGTGCTTTTCCCATCGCTGTCCAATTTAGAAATGAAACAATCCATCTGTTTTAACTAACAATGAGCTCTCTGATTTATGAGGTTGCATTAATCTGTCCCACTGATAGCTTGCTCTATGTGGACCGATGTTCTTTACTTCACACTTAGCAGGTCTGTTCTCCAACTCCATCCCTGACCTCATAAATCTAACCTTACTATCACATCTTACACAAATAACTAGTCTTACACAACACATTTCCAAAACTGGAATTCATACAGTATCTCCCCTTTCCACTCTCGCTCGCTCATTATCAGCACAATTCCTTATGAGGGCATTATATGCCTTAAATACCCGAACTAGCACTCTTGGTTCTCAGACCATGAAGTCACATGTTTTAAAAGAAAGCAATTGTTACTATAAAAGCGATGAGGGCATGATGAAGTCGGGGGTTGGGGACCGTGTGAAAGCCAGATAATTACAGTTTCTTTGGTCAAAGCTGCCAACAGTCCCGCTGTTACTATATAGGTAGAGTGATGCAATGGGTCCTGGCAAACCGAGCAGAAATTCCATAATAAGTTGCTTCACAAAGCCTGAAAAGTCCAAAAAGTCTAGGTGCGCCGTAAGCCACAATAATCCAAACAGGTAAAAAGTTGTCAAAAAGGCCTACAACAAAAAAGTAAATGCAAGACAAGAACACAGCTCTACTGAAGAACTGTCTGCACATGTTTAAATGAGTTTTAAATGACCCATTCACTTGCTTTTGACATTTCAATGAAAGTCCCTTACACAACAGTAATCCCAAAGACAGTCACATGTTTTGCATTACCTGGAATTGAAACAATGTGTTGGCAGCTCAAATCTTTCACAATTACACAGCTTGTTGGTAACTGATATCACTAAGCATTATTATGAGGTGGAATCATTACAGCCAGGTCAGATAGCAGAGATGCAGGCCACATGAGACAGAAAACCACCTCAGGCCCAGCAGGACCCCAGAGAGTGAAGGAGAGCATCTGGATTACATGTGTATCATCATCACACACGTCTGATCTGAGGGATTCTAGGAATGCCAGCATTTTTGGGATTAGATCTGATCCAGGACTTGCAAAAAGAGACTTAAATAAGGTTAAGAGGAAAGACATAGTTGTAAACGAAAGAGAGATAAACATGTCTGCATGTAAAAGAGAAAAAGAGATCACTGATATCATTCAAGTGGTCAGAGTCAAGATTTTAACTGCACCTTTAACAAGTTTACTATAATACAATTCATTAAACTTAACAAGTGGTCCAAATACCAGATGTTGTTGAGGTCTTTAAATCTAAGCTTCATATCAGAGATATTCAATCCCTTAAAAGTAAGCCCAGATGGAATCTGAAGACTTTATCGTGTTTGGAAAATCTGTGCAATTCTATGAAATGGATTTACACATGCCAAAATAGTTAAACAGAGTTCATTACACTCTAATTTGTAGGTGAAAGTAAAATCAATAAGGGCGGGGAATTTGTAGAATCATTTGACTGACAGGTGTTAGAATTCATACTCATAAGTCAAGGCATGCTTGTCATATTCAAAGCAAAACAATAAAAAAAACACACACACACACACACACGCATGTCTAAACGTTTCAGGCATGCAGTTGTAGATGATTAATATGAACAAACATGTTGAGGTCAATCCAGGACCCAAGAATCTGGCACCAACTCAAAGCTCTTGCTTCTATACGCACATCTTCATTCCAGAGATCTAATACCCGTGATCTGTTGCCACACACTGGTTGTTTAAATTATATCAAAGGCATTTACAATCCACCACTGCAATAGTTCAAGCAGCCCGGTCAAGCAACACTTCCCACAGCGTATGTGAATTAGCTGGAATCATTGTACTAATGTGAGATGTACAGCAAGCCAGAGTAGTAATTACGTTTAGTGTGGAATGTCTAGTGCAAGCGGTCAGCCACAACTTAGGAGAGGGTTTTTTTTTTTTGAGAGAAAAATACAGTAAAACAATAGCAAAAAGTACCATTAACATGTGAACATTTGAAAATAACCAACCTGGCACACATTAAGTACAAAATAAATGGTTGATACGTGTAAATGAATGAAATCTTAACAGTACCATTTCAAAGTTTGGGGTCAGTAAGAAAATTATATATTTAATAATAATAATAATAATAATAATAATATATATATATATATATATATATATATATTATTTATTTTTTCTCAGGATGCATTAAACCGATCAAAACTGACAGTAAAGTCGTTTATAATTACAAAAGATTTCAAATCAATGCATTCATCATAGAATCCTGGAAAAAAGTATCCCGGTTTCTTAAAATATTAACCAGCGCAAGAACAATGTTTTCCACACTGATTAAAATAAGAAGTGTTTCTTGCGAGATTTCTGATGTATCATGTGACACTGAAGACGTAATTCAGCTTCGCCATAAAAGGAATACATTTTAAAATACATTAAATAAGAAAAAAGCTTTCAAATGTATAATAATATTTCACAATATTGTTCTTACGTTTTTTTGTTTGTTTGTTTTTTATCAAATAAATGCAGCTTTGGTGAGAAAAAGTCTTACGAACCCCAAACATTAGAACGGTACATTAAAAAAAAAAAGCATTACAGTTAGTTAGTACAGTTAAGTTCAGTGACTCTGAGCTAATAATGACATCATACTACAATTTCCAGATGTCCCACTAAGCTAAACCACATTAATTAGTCTGCGGTACTGCACCTACTCCCCATTTGCTGACATACACCAGTTACAGTCCCACAGTAGACAAGTTACATCTTAACAAATCAACATTTTGAAACCGTTTCAAGTTCCCACCTATAAGATCATTTAAGTTCTTTAATTTTGATGCAAAGCATCCACATTCCAGAATCATAAGTGAGCTTTAGATCTTATTTTAGAGGCTAAAGACAGGATTGATGGGACTTATGATGGACACATTTCAGGCACTGACTGTGTTGGCTGTTTTGGTCCATCACATCTTAGCGCCACTGGCAAGAAGTGGGCATTCCCTAGTTTTACAAACACACACACTCGCTAACATCACAGCAATAGCTGTAAGATGAATGATGGAATGGTTTAACACACACTTCCTGTACAGTTTCTCTTCCATAACAGCATCCCTTAACATACATAAATACTGAACACACACTGTACAAAGGAAGCTCACAAGTTGCACAGCTGGCCAATGACAGATTTCATCCAACAACCAATGACCTCACGTTTGGCACGAGCGACCACAGATGCTGAGAAACCGCAATGGTGTGTCCTCAGGATTTTTTTAACGATTTATCCAAGCTTAAAATGCTTAATATTTCAATGGCTCTACAAGACCTAACTCTCATACTCTGTGTCTAAAATCTAGCACAGAAAACAACATTCCTCTTTATTACTCAATTCAAGTATTTCCCAGGTCAGGATATGAGCAAAAGCGCATTAATGAGCGCATCTGTGCATCTATCTTCTTTATAACACGACCGCCTTGGGCTAAAAAGGTAACAAATCTATCACTGTGCTTCTTCAGAGGAGTAAGGGAAGACTGGAGAACGCATTAACTGCAAAGACTGGCACCAACTCGAGACAAATCCGCAGACCATATCGAAAAATAGAGCGCACGGTTATTTGTACTACCATTTATCAAATGGCACGTGAAATAGGTCAACATGCTGACACACATAAAAACTCCGATAACACAAGACATAACACCCATCTAGATGGAAGCAATAAAACACAGGAGATATCACTGACACCACATTCAGCTCAACAACTTCAACAGAAGCAGACCACATAGAGCCAGTAACAAACTGATGATTTATGACAGCCAATGAGGAATTCACAAACCGTCTCTTGTATTTGTAAAGTTGGAACAGTGAGCAGGGCTGAATGCCAGGTCCTGTGTGTCTTCCTGCCCCATCACAAGATGTAGTTTGTTCTGAGGTTCCAGAGTATTTTGTGGTTCCACACTAATGACTGATCCAGTTCAAATTATGAGATTCATTCTGCTGAAGTCTTTAAGATGCCACTCAGCCCACCACAGCCGTTACTAAATTACAGTCCAGCACAGAACTGAGTCTTTGCTTCATTTCAAAGCGAGAAGACCCATGGCCCATTGCAGAAAATGAAGTAAACATAAGGCCACAACTTGATGTACCAGAGTGAGTATTGACCACGTTTCAAAGATTTCTTCTTAGCTTGTGTTATGCATTATAAAAGAACTGGCTTTATATATGCCAGAATAAAAGTTCTTCTTGGGAACTAAACTTGAATTTGGTACTTTGTCATGCATGTGCAAATAATTGGTACACCTATTCTTCGAAAGCACAATGCAATGCATGATAACATTTAAAACTAACTATCTGTTTTGTTCTTATTTTCTAGTAAATAATCCAATAGTGACTAATATATACTCCATTTGTCACTAGTAGGGCCTTATTGGTCATTAGATACAAGATGCTATTAGATACAGTCACCATCCCAATTCACAAAACTTGAATTAGGTACTTAAAACCTTAAAATCTCAGTCTGGCATACATTATACACACATTAAAACATTGTTACAACTAAAGCTAATCTAATAAACAAATCTGTCATTAGATCATATCATATATGATAATTTACACTACAAGATAAAAGTTTCCACACACCTGACTGAATTTCTGATGACATCAAAAGCCTTCTGATCTAAAAGTATTTAATTACATTTTTAGATAGTTTTAAGATAGTAAATGTTCATGCATATATTTTTCTGTACAAAACTAAAAACTTTTCTTTTTTTAAATGGTTAAATCAGACTAAGAATTCCGAACAAGCCAGGCATGTGTACAAATCTTGTGTGTTTGAACTTACAACCTTTTCTGGTAGCATCTTTAACCAACATCTCCAAGAACAATGTTGTACAAGATGGTGAAATAAATATATTATAACCAAAAGGCAAAACTTACCAACACAAGCACCATCATCACCAGGTGTATATCCGAGAAGGCAGGGAGTGGACCGGCTCACTATTGGGTAGCTCGGACCAGGGCCTGGACCAGGACCTGCTCCCACAGGAGGACCATTAGGGATAAATGGTTCAGGATATCCAAGCGATCTGTCAGGGTAGGACTCTTCAGGATAGGAAGGCTCAGGGTAGGAGCGTGGGCTGCTGCGGGAATAAGATTGGGAGTAGAGTCCACGGGGGATGCACAGGTATCCACCATTCTGATTTACGCACAGCATGTCACCCCGGCACGGGTCTGGCAGTGTTCGGCATTCATCAACGTCTGAAAATATAATTGTGAGAAATCCCATTAACAGCTGTATTTGAAATACAAGTTCTTGATGAATATAATAATTACTATAATGACAGCTGATATGCCACTAACCGATACACTGTCTGGCACGACGGTCATAAGTAAATCCATCTGTGCATGACTGGAGAAAAATAAGGATTTCATAATCAATCCAGTAGATAAACAACATTTTGTTCATTATGTGCAGCAAGAAGGCTTTTTGTAGTAGTTTGGCATTGCTATCATATGATTATGTGTACTTCTACTTAAGATGTACAACAGTGTCGGAAAAGCAAAGAAATAGTAATACTCTTATATACTCTTATTACGACACACATCAAACAACATTGGTGAGCTTGAATGACTCAAGGACAAACAAAACAGAAAATCACTTACCTGACTTTTCCCAGAGTGAATGCAGCATATGATACATATTAAAATTGACAACATTCTACAAATAAAATAAAAAAACAAAAATATGTCAGTAAATCATTTTGAAAACAAAAAAACATTGAAATTCTTCAAGGGTTTATTCACTGATAAGCACTAAAAATGCTCACTCAAAACCAGGAATATTGACAAAAAAATACTTATTATCATGGTTCACATAATCTTTAGTACTATGAAAATGCACATTAACATTTAATCTTTAAAAATATCTAGTATCTGTTTTGTTACCAGCTCTTATTTTCTAGTAAAAATACAATAGTGGCTATCTGTTCAATTTGTCACTATAGAGTCTTGTTTATTAGATTCTAGTTCTTATTCCAACAGTTATACATATTTATTACTAACACTTATTTATTTCCAACTAGTTACCATCCCAATAGTGACAATGTTAATAGTAATATTACTAGTAATGCAAAACGCAGTTGATGTTACTATAGTAACAATTCACTGTAAAAAAAATGAAATGATCACTAAGTTATGACAACATAAGTTTTTACATTGCTTTAACTCAATTTATCTATTTTTTAAGTTACACAAGTTTATTGTACTTAATTTAAGTCAGCAACTTTATTTTAAGTGTTGGCATATACTAATCTATGATAAATAAACTAGATAATTATTAACTACTCGAATAGATACAAGAACTAAGAAATGAACTACAAATGCCCAATGGCAATTATAGAAACTTGTCACCATAACAATGAAATATTTAGTCAGTACTGGCATGGAGACATATAGCAAATGAATTAGTATTGACTAATTGAAAGTCACACTACAAAAGTCGAGATACTAGGCTAGTCAATATAGGATTACTCAGGAAATAATAAATAAGTGGCATAAGTAAGATGCAAGTAATGTATGCTAAAACGGCTTGCCATACATCACCAGCTGACTACCGGTAATTAAACTCACCTTTTGTTGGTCGACCAACTCAAGCCACGTAGTTCAAATAACATGTTTATGTGGATCCTTGTGGTTCCCCTGGAGAGAACGTCACACCACCAGCCCGTTAACTCCTCGCAATAGGAAAAGAGTTGATCTTTGTGGTTTCACTACCTTTACGGGCTCGCTGGACCCAAAGCGCAAAATGAAGTGCCCAAAGCGCCCCCTCCGTGTACGCGAGTTCACTTGACTGTCGAGACACTTGGCTTTGGTCACCCGCTGCGGCCGCCCTGTCGACCGAAGGCAAGAACGTGTGAGATCATTGACCAATAGTAAGAGGAGGGTCCTACTATAATATAAAAAAATGAAATCTTGCTGTATTTCTCCGTACTCGGCCCACTCCACGGATTGTTTAGCAATGCAAATAAACGGGCCCCCAGAGCACTTGGTCAACAGCTGGATCCCATCAAAGATAGACAGCCCCCTTTGGAACGAAAGCGCGCACAGGGAGCTGCCACAGACTCAAAACGAGAAGGAAGACGGCAACGAGGAAAACCGAGTAAAGAATTTGTAAAACGACGCTTAATTAACTTAAAATTTAGAAGGAACTACTGCTACGTACTGAGTCATTAGCTCCGGCGTACCCCATTAACCATATCCACAAACCATATTACTTTACGAAACAAAACTATTATGGTCTTAAAATTTAACTAGGTGTGTAAAACGATGTCAGGGCAGCATATTTTGGACCAAAGGAAGTCAAAACTAAGGCTGGGGCCCTGTAAAAAAAAAAATAAATAAATTAAAAAACAAACAAACAGCGTGTAGATAATTAATTTTCACTTGTAGCCTGCCCTAAACATTCAAAATATAGTACATCACAAAAGCATTTATTACAAAAATAGCATATATCACAAAATCTTTTTAATTAACAAACATAACGGTGTTAGTGAAATGAATATAGAAATCAATATAAAAAGTTCACTGCAGCCTGGTGACTGGACAGAAATCAATATAAAAAGTTCACTGCAGCCCGGTGACTGGATAGCAGACCATAACCACAGTCTCACCTTGACCTGCATCTCATTAGCTATTGCCTAGTGTAAATATGCTGAAATAATCTTGTACCGGCGCTAACCTTTGAGCTGTAACACACTCGGCCCACACACTTGACTGGAAGGCTGCACATACACAGTCGAACTGTTTTTATTGTATCCTTTTATATATCAGCTTTTGTCAATTGATTAATTGGGAGTAGGTTTGGCAGCATCTAGCAAGCCAGATGCTGACTGAATTCAGCAGGGAAGACTGCTGGGAGACTGAGACACTTTATCAGGGCTTTTTGGCATGCATAAAGGAAAGTAGATGGATTCAATGGTCACATCACCAGGCAGGCAGCACACTGCCACGCTCGAAATCAAGTCAACCGTTCAGTCTCAACAGTGAACTTGGGCAAGAGGCTTACAGTGTGGCAGAACTGTAAAGGGCAACGGTTTTTTGAGTTACATCAGTTAATAGTTCAGTGGGCCATTAAATGCATCAGTGATTTTACTGAACATTTGTTTAATGACATTCATTAGACTCTTGAAATACAAATATTTTCAGGCTCGGTGTGTTTAAAGCCTGCCAGATTAACAGACCCTCTGGGCAAAAGCCCATTTGGGTGGAGATCTTGAGATATAAAAAAGGTTTAGACTTGATCTGACGCTGATAAAACAGACAGCAGAGTTATGACGGTTCAAATGTACACAATCTAACAGCGGGAAAAATGGCTGGAAGGAATGTGGGAGGCTGAAGCAGGTGTTCCCTGGTTAGGGCAGGGTTATTTTGTCTGGCTCTGTGAGTGCTGTGTGAGCAATGTTCACATTAAAATCTGACACCTGCTTACATTCACTATGTCCAACACATTGAGAGTGTTTCCACCATAGTGCAACGGATTTGCTTCAGAGCACCACAGATAATTTCTAGAATTCAAATGTGCCATTACAGCAAAGTAATTGTTTACGTGCAGTATGTTTGTATGAAATAGCAGTAATACAGCTGCCTGTGCTGAATTTAACACATTGCAACACAATACACCATGATAATAGTGTCAAATAAATCCCTTTCATTCATTCAAAGCATTACTTACAACATTATTTTGAGTCTTGTGTGCTCATGAAGTCTGCATTTATTTGATCCAGTTCAATTTTTTTTTTAAAATGCAATTTATTCCTGTGATGGCAAAGCTGATTTATCAACAGCATCTGCTGCATTCTAATATGCTGATTTGGTGCTCAAGTAAGATTTCTTGTTAACATCAGAGTTATAAACAGTTGTGTAGATTAATGATTTTGTGGAAAACATCATACTTGTTTCTGGATTCTTTGATGAATTAATTCCAAAAGAACAACATTTATTTGAAATAGGAATTTTCTTTTGTAATAATGTAAGGCTTTACTGCACTTTTGATCAATTTAATGCATCCTTGCATGCTGAATAAAGCAATCAAAAGTATTAGTAGCAAAATAATTTATTTAAAAAAACAAAAACAAACTGACCCTGAACTTTTGAAGGTATTTACACTCACCTAAAGGATTATTAGGAACACCCGTTCAATTTCTCATTAATGCAATTATCTAATCAACCAATCACATGGCAGTTTCTTTATTGCATTTAGGGGTGTGGTCCTGGTCAAGACAATCTCCTGAACTGGCATGGTTGTTGGTGCCAGACGAGCCAGTCTGAGTATTTCACAATCTGCTCAGTTACTGGGAATTTCATGCACAACCATTTCTAGGGTTTACAAAGAATGGCGTGAAAAGGGAAAAACATCCAGCATGCGACAGTCCTGTGGGCGAAAACGCCTTGATGCTAGAGGTCAGAGGAGAATGGTCTGACTGATTCAAGCTAGAAGAGCAACTTTGACTGAAATAACCACTCGTTACAACCGAGGTATGCAGCAAAGCATTTGCACAACCTTGAGACGGATGGGCTACAACAGCAGAAGACCCTCCGGGTACCACTCATCTCCACTACAAATAGTCAAAAGAGGCTACAATTTGCAAAAGCTCACCAAAATTGGACAGTTGAAGACTGGAAAAATGTTGACTGGTCTGATGAGTCTCAATTTCTGTTGAGACATTCAGATGGTAGAGTCAGAATTTGGCGTAAACAGAATGAGAACATGGATCCATCATGCCTTGTTACCACTGTGCAGGCTGGTGGTGGTGGTGTAATGGTGTGGGGGATGTTTTCTTGGCACACTTTAGCCCCAATTGGGCATCGTTTAAATGCCACGGCCTACCTGGGCATTGTTTCTGACCATGTCCATCCCTTCATGACCACCATTTACCCATCCTCTGATGGCTACTTCTAGCTGGATAATGGACCAAGTCACAAAGGTCGAATCATTTCAAATTGGTTTATTGAACATGACAGTGAGTTCACTGTACTAAAATGACCCCCACAGTCACCAGATCTCAACCCAATAGAGCATCTTTGGGATGTGGTGGAATGGGAGCTTCGTGCCCCGGATGTGCATCCCACAAATCTCCATCAACTGCAAGATGCTATCCTATCAATATGGGCCAACATATCTAAAGAATGCTTTCAGCACCTTGTTGAATCAATGCCACGCAGAATTAAGGCAGTTCTGAAGGTGAAAGGGGGTCAAACACAGTATTAGTATGGTGTTCCTAATAATCCTTTAGGTGAGTGTATTTACACCAGTGGCCAAAAGTGATGTCCTGCCGAGAAAAAATTTCCTTAAATTCAAATACTGTTAAAAACTTGTTTAACGTTTGGTATTGCGTAGTTGTGCTTGAAGTAAAATGTTTTATTTGTGATAAAGCAAATAAAACACACTAAATTACAAACACAAGCAAAAACAAGATAGAATTAACAAAATATTAATAAATCAATGTTGTTGTCAATTTGTTTTCTTTTCTATTCATTTATTTATTTTGCATAGTAAAACAAAACCTGTAACCCGTTTCCATAATACAATAAAACCGCTTTTCTTGTTTTGCCAAATAATTTGTCAGATAAATACATTGACCAAGTTTAGGGTTTTATTTAAAAAAAATATAAAATATTTTCCTCATATTTTGATGATTTAATAAAAATTGTAAGGTCATTAAAACATATCCCCTCCAGATATTACTTTTGACCACGTACTGTAAATTCACAACTGGATGTCAATATCACTTGACTTAAATGGTTAAATGTTCCAAGAATCTATGCACCAGATTACAGACAGCTGTATTAGACGCGGTTACACTACAATTGGAATTCCAGACAGGGTTTTCCCTGGAGACGTATTGGGAAAGACGGACATTTCCTTTTGAGGTTAATCTGGTCTGATAATGCTCTACACCACTGCCTTCATAAGGACTTTTAAATTATAGCCTTGCGATTACATAGTCTGCAGTAGGAAAGAAAAAAAAACAGACGCAAAAAAAAATCAACAAACCCCTGTAAATCTTGTAGAATATATGGAAATACAATTTCAGGATTAGATGATTAACTAATTAATTACCAGAATTCTTTTGCATAGTTATCATGAGATGTATTTATAAGGAAAAACACCAATTATTAGAATGGAACCATAACTTAATATGGGAAAATTCACTCGAGCAGAGCGCTCAAAAAAACAAAAACACAAGAGTGAAAACAGAAAAATGCTAATATATGTAGAGAAGAGTTTATTCTGCAGAAAAGAGAAACACTGTTGAATATCACTTTCAAGAGCCATCTTTCAAAACTTCAAAAAGATTGATCAACTTTAAATAAACACCAGCGCAAAATGTATAAATGTATCCTAAATCTATATAATCAAGTGCACCTAACTGTTATGAAAGATATAGTAACCAAAAAGAGTTTTACTAAGGCCATTTTCTCTATTAAAAAAAAATCCACTTTATTTTAGGCCTCAAAGAAATATTTGGTTTGAACCCATTGAATTAGGGGTCCGCCGTTTTAATCTATTAACACCAATTATAAAATATACAGGTCATTTTTTACACTTTAATCCTCTCATTCCTTCTTATACTTCAATTATGTGTGCAATATTGTTTTTCCAAATTGTATATACATAATCTATCTTTCTACCTTAGAAAGAAATCTGAATATTACAGATACATTTAGCTTATCCCCACTGCATAAGCAGTGAACAATATGATGATGATCGATGTAAATAAATAAATAACATAACTGCATGGGAGCATGTGCAGCAGTCTAAATCCAAGATCAAATGTCACTTCTTGATTAACTGTTATTGTACCTGCCAACCATTTATAGCACTCAAAATGGGAGGATTTTGAAAGAGTAGGTAGCGTTTTTGCAGAAGTGGAAACGGTTTAATAAATCCATTCGTGTAGTGGATGCCAGACAGCATCAGACAGTCTCTCGACACACTAGAAAAACATTAAACACCTCTTTTTTGTCTAAAAATGAGACTGAATGTTTGCACGACATTAAATAAATGGTGGGAGAATGTCACAAGAATATTCGATAATGTAATCTTCCTCAGTTTGCAAACTGAATCTGATTCTGTCAAACTTAGGACTCCGTTTAGTCAAATTTAACAAGCACGGGCCGCCCTTAGTAGCTTTATCTTTTTCATTCTAATGGCAATCAGCCATTTTAGTAAATATTTGAATCCGTGACATGGCCCAGTTTCTGTTCCGTCTGCTGGAACGTAGTGTCCTGATAAGCTAAAGTGCTAAGCTGAGTGGCAGTACAGGTGGACAATCACTGCTTGAGTAAATCTTTCAGCACGGCTCCACCACTGGACTCAGCTGACACAGGTACAGGTGTGAACGTTGGCAGGGCGTTTGAGATGGGCTTCATGAGCAGGTGTCCCCCAGCTCCTGCAGTGCTACCTGTACCTGCGGTATTGAGAAGGGGTACGGCAGCAGAGCGTGGCGCCAGGAAAGGGTTTGAATCCCCAGTGCGCTTACCTGAGCCTGACACACCTGAAACAACATGAGCAGCCTTAAAAGTGATCACAAATATACAGGCCTTTTCACACAAAGAATGATAACTATAACGTTAACACTGTTTATACAAAGGCCTTGTCTACACTTAATGCGGTTTTGTTCGAAAACACATCTTTTTCTCTCCGTTTTGGCCTTCTGTCCACACTAGATAGGGTTTTTATTAATGAAAACAAAGCTTTTTGAAAACGCTCACCAAAGTGGATAATTTTTGAAAATTTGAAATTGTACATTCTATATTATATTTGAACATTCCGGAAGCATTTTTAACAATATTGTTCCTCTGTGTCGGTATTGTTATGGCTGTGGTGTGATTTCCCTATTCTCGTGGAATTAAAATGATTATTACACCTTTATAGTTATTGTGCTTAGTGTGAATAGGATATTCATAGATACAGATAGATATTCATGTTGAAGCTGATAACTGACAAATGGTCTATGCTATTTTGTCTGAATAAATGAAAAAGAAAAGTGAAACATTAACAGTGTAAACTTACTCAAATCTTTAAAAATTACCTTTAAACGTAAAAATAGGGGAAATTATCATGCACATTTAAATACCCAATATCGGCTGATACCGATCCATTAAAAAATAAACTCACACATAAGCCAGAAGCAATAATTTTTTTTAAAGAAATAACCGATATGGTACCAATAAACCTATTTTTATGAGACGTCATACCTGATGCAGGTGTGTTAGTAGTACCCCGGCCAGGTGGGGGCGCACTCAGGGGCTTGATGTCATAAACGGGCAGTTTAGGAGCAGGGAGTGCAGGAGTAGACTCTACTTCCAGGAACTTCACGAACATCTCAGAGAAGGACTTTAAACACAGACACTAGTGTAAACGGAAGATGCACTTGTGTAATAATGTATGTGTGCATTCATTAGCATGTGTGCCCACCGAGTTAAGGTTTTGAGCCTGTGTAGGTCTTTGGGGGGTGTTGGGTACACTCTGAACGGCTCTGCCTCCCAGCCAACTCGAGACCCATCCGGTCATCCCACTCTTGCCCTCTTCTTGTAACAACTGTAAAAAGAGAAGTCATAAGTCAGTAAGTCAGAGGGAGTGTTTTTGCGTGTTACGACTTTGGTTGTGTTTCAGAGAGTTGTATTTTCCCCCTCTCACTCAAACAGGATAACTGTACAAAGTTCAGTGAAATACTGATACAGAAAAAAACCACTGTCCTCAGAGCACTCAGACTAGAGAATGCTTTCTCAGAAGAAAAGAGGCAGACCGGGAATATTTTTAGCCTTTAGAGTTGTAAACAAAGAGGTCTTGAGTGGAAACTTAAACTCAATGTGTAGCATAAAAAATGTGAAGGTGTGCGGAGGAGTGGAGAAATAAAATACGGGGTAAAGGGGACTGTGTGACCCAGAAACACACATACACTTTCCTTCTCTCTCTTTCTTCTCTTGAGGCTGTTGGGTAATTCTGCTAACCACTTACTGAATAGTTGGAGTCTCTCCTGCCAGACCCCAGCCTACTTCAATGGGATTGTGGGTAAGGAAATGCTTTAGGTGCAGGATTGGCATGGGCCCATAATCTAATTCAGTATTTGTCCGTCTCCCAGGCAGTCTCTCTCTTTCTTCCTCTGTAATATATATTCCTCTGTGTATTCTAGAAAATTAGCTTAAAGTGAAATATGAATAATTAATAGGAACAATGATACTAAAAAAAAAACACTAAGCATATTGGCAAATTAGTATTGTTTCAGCAAAATCATTCTGGTATGGAACAATCCAATTAAAGGGATAGTTCATTCAAAAAATTAAAGCTTATCAAAGCGCATCCATCCATGATAAAAGTGCTTGTAACGGCTCTGGTGGGTTAATAAAGGTCTTCTGAAGCACGATGCGATCGTGTAAGAAAAATATCCATATTTAAAACTTTATCGACTAAAAGATATAGCTTCCGGCCGATGGCTGTACACAAGTCGACTTAAGTCAAAAGAGTAACCCTTGCCGTCAAAGCTTGAGCTACTCCTACATCATACACATACATTGTCAAGTACTACTTTTTTTTTTTTTATTATTTTTGGGGAAACCATCTCTTTAATTCCCAATTCCCATTTTTCCCCTTGCTGAATATGCAGTTTCACTCGGAAATATGACACATTATGGAAGTAAAAAGGGTTGTTAACAATTGCAGTGCAATTCATTGCAACAGACAAAATTCCATACGGATTTTGACCCTTTGAGGATAGTGGCTAAAAAAAGACTTTTCCGAGAAAAAAATTAAGCCACATCCTGCTTTATCATCATAACTGATCTGTCCTAGTTATTGAGAAATTCAGCCCCACCAGGATCAAAACGGAAAAACAGATATTCTAATAGAAAACAAACCAGCCCTATTAGCAGTCTGCCAAATGAATGTGATCATCATGTGTGCAGGGTTTCCAGGGATGCTGACATGTCATTTAGCGCAGGCTGGAAAAGCAGAAGTCTCTATACCCTGATTACCAACAAAGACTAAACGCAACTTGAAGTCATCCTTCAAAGAACTAAAAAAAAAAAAACCTTTTTCAACAAAACCAGCGGGGGCAGCTCTAGGCTTGTGCCAAATTAAACACATGATGTAAGATGAGTGGAAAAATCTTTTTAACATCTGATAAACATCCTCAATGCTGACATCAAACATGAGATAGCTGGGCGGAGAACCGAACATCAGGAGTCAGGTGGTCAAATATTGAATCCACACTTGTTTAACCATCAAGTTTCAGAGGTGAGATGAGGTCTGGAGCAGAGCCACGCATTTGAGTGATGAAAATTCAATGGAATTTTACAACAAGGGTAAGGAGGAAATGAAAAAAAGTGAAGGAGGCTGCACCTCCTCTTTGAAAAATTGGACATAACATTCACTGAATGTGCACATTTGCATTTGTGAAGATGAATACATTAAAAAAGTGAATGTAAAAGGGAGGATGAAAAGAAATATACATGATGAGAAGCAGAGAGCGCTGACCTACCTCGCACACCTCATCTCGGTCCAACCCAAGCACATTACCCATAAGCCTCAGCACCTCAGAGCGCTTGTTTCGGGGGGTATGAAAATAGCCCATGTAAAGATTCCTCATCAGAACCCTGTGTCAGCAATTAATGATGTTAGATGATTTTTCACAAGGAACACCCTTTTTGAAAATATTTGGATCGAAATATGTATGAAATATGTTTCCAATGCAGACTGTGTTTTGGACTCACTTATCCACTTTGCCTTCGGTGGTGTTCAGGAGGTTCATCAGTTTCCTCTGAGCCTCTTCCAACATATCCTGTCTCACCTCCACTGCAAAACAGACAAAAGCACATGTTTGAGTATTGTTTGTTATGTAGCCTTCATTGCTGTCACAGTTTGGGTCATGAGTTATGGCCAATTCATAAAACCAACACCTTAATAAAGAAAAAATTCCCTTCGCTAATATCTGGCTCTATCAGATATGGCTTCGTCTAAGTGTGTGTGTGTGTGTGTGTGTAGGATCCCTTTTCTTTTCACATTCAAGTGATTTTCTTTATTTAAAATAATTAAATTTCACACACACACAATTTTGTTTTCATGTTTTAAGTTCAAAAGGGCTTTAGGGTCAGTGAAAACATTTACGCAAATAATACTTTACTATAGACTGGAGTAATGACTGGTTTGCTTTGCCATTACAGGAATAAATAAAATGTTAAAATATAAATACAATAATAAACAGTTATTACACTTTAAATTGTAATCACATTTCACAATATTGCTGTATTTATTTAGCCTGGATGCCAGCCGGAAGTTAGGTCTGGACTCGATCCATTATATAATTATGATCTACATGTAATTATGAGTATGTTCATAATTATAGTATACATCTATGATATAATTATGAGTAATTATTATCGGTTCAGAAATGGTCGGGCCAATCAAATTGCCAGGGCGGGCTTTATATGATGATTGACAGATGATCTGCACGTAATCATCACGTCAAACAACGCATTTCTTTCAATTATGCTTTTCGTGCTTGAAAGTTCTCCGTGAATCCTTAAATTCTTTTTGCAACACCGATAAAGATCGTTAACACGTTATTTTTTGAATACTTTTTCCAGAGTGTGTGCAGTTGAGTTCATGCGTCGCTCAACATACGTCACTTACTGCGTTGCTCTGATTGGTTGTAGGTCTATCCAATTGAATTAAGTGCAGAGTTGTTTTTTTCCTGGTTCGGTTCAGACACGCCTCATAATCAAAGCCCTATGGAGCAGTATCAGACTCGCATTCTGACTAGAATATGAGTATAACGAAGTCAGGCTAGTATTTATTGTAATTTTGATCAAATAATGGAAGTTAGAGTCAAGATGAAGACATTAAAGTCAAAATGAATTACCCCACTATTAAGTTTCTTAAGTTCCAAGCACTATAAAGTTTACAAGCCACCAGCAAGAAAGTCTTTCATTTCTAGCCAAAGTCAATTTTACTTGCACTTGGCGAGAGTTAATTTTGGACAATGTATTTGAGAGATGCAGACATAGCTTTCAGCAGAAGGTGGTATGACTTTGTTATCCATTAATGTAAACCGTCGAGAACAAGTGTTTGCATAGAACTAATGAGTATGTGTGTGATCACCTTAACATAAACAGCAATAATTGTGGTACTGGGTTAAATGTGTCTGGGAATGTCTCATGGAGTAAAGACAAGGACGTGTGTGAGTATGACGTGCTCTAAATGCCTTTATCTCCAACACCCCTAATTGGTCCAGAAGGTTTGGCGGTTTGGCTCTTGGGAACTCTTTTCCTCTGAGACTTTACCTCTAGAGACCACATGAACTCAGTGATAAGAGAGGGTGAGAGAGTTCCTGTCTGCACTAAACACCCTGGAATGTCTGTCGGCTGCACTTGTGCTTTGCTAAGCAAAAATTAACCGTTCTCGAATCTCGATCATTCTGTCTACGTTCTCCTCAGTCATTCTTTGACAGATGCAATAAAAATCCCAGCAATCATCCCTCACCTTCCTCTCCCTCTTAGACCGACTGCCCCGTATTGTTGATTTGAGGCTTGATAGGGACAGAGAAGAAAGGGATGGCTGAGATAGAAAGGCAGGTTGGATTGAAAAAGAGAATCTTTGTCTACACACTTTGGCTACTGACATGCCATAAATATTGTCTCTCGGACAGAAAGAAGATGTGAAGGAATTCTAAACATCTATATAGTCTACAGACCTGGCATCGCTCTCCCAAACGCACACGTGTGATTCTTAGTTTCCGCACAGATATTAATCAAACTTATACCACTACATAAAGCACAGTCTCAAAGAGTCAAAAATAATTTAATGGTTCCTGATGTTCCTAGACCTGTTGACATTCACAAGACTCTTCAGAAAAAATGGTTTACAGAACTACAAACCTAATCTCAGATCATGTGTCATGAGTTTTGGGGTGACTGAGCTTGAGTCTTTTTGTGGCCAATTCAGGCCAATTCTACTTTTTTCCAACAACTTTTTTCCCCTCAGAATAGTTTATATCTCACAATTCTGACTTTACAACACGCAAATTTGACTTTATATCACACAATTCTGACTTTATATCTCGCAATTCTGACTTTATAACACGCAATTGCAACTTCATATCACGCAATTCTGACTTTATATCTCGCAATTCTGAGAAATAAAGTCAGAATTACGAAATGTAATCTCGCAGTTGTGAGAAAAAAAGTCAAAATTGTGAGATAAAAAGTCGCAATTACCTTTTTTATTTTCCATTCTGTGGCGGAAACAAGCTTCCATTCAGGAAATAAATGCTGATTCTCAGTGTTAGTTTTTCCTGTGGTTAACATTAATGGTAATTTTTTTCCTTGATCTCAGCTTAGTGCTTTTCAACAAGGGGACCGGGGCTTTAGCAAACACTCAAATGGGCCACAAGATGACTTAAAATGATTTGATCATATATATATATATATATATATATATATATATATATATAATAAAATAAAAACTATTTAAATTTAAATCTTTTAAAATTTAAATATTAAATTAATTTATATTTTCCTTTAAATAACTATTATTTGTATTGAAATCAGAATCTTGAATCTTACAGAATCACATTACAAATTTAATTTAAATTTAAATTTAAAAACATTTAATTAGTATGGCATTGCTCAAAAAATATTGTGTCGGACAACTGGGGCCTTCAAGTCAAAAGGTTGAGAAGCACTGCCCTAGTTACACAATGAGGTGAAATGCTGAGATGATTTTTTTAAGAAGGTACTGATTTCAACAGTCATTCAGTTGAAGACATACTGTCTCACCTTGTTTCTTTAGATCTTCTATCTGTTCCTCTTTGAGGTCCAGCTGATCAGTGAGTCGAGAGGCAGATTCGAGAGCTGCGTTCGCTTCATCCAGGTTTATCTAAGATTACACACACAGACATTGAGCAATGATATAAATACTTGTCAAGCAGAGTGCAGAAAGGACAGAGGTTTGAACTGACTTGCAGAGCGGCAGCCTGATCGCCAAGAGTTTCAGCTTTATTTCTCCATTCTTCTTTCTCTCTCTTGTATTTTTCCAGTTCTGCTGAGTACATGGCTTTTTCTTCTGTAAAGAGAGATACAAATGTCAACTTTGAAGACTTATTGCAGATTCTTCTCTTAATTCAAACATTTAAAAAAAGGAAAGAAAAAAATGTACACACTAATCAACATTTATAATTGCTTTAATGGTCATCATTCCATACAAGAAAAACTGCTTCAAAAACTATACCAAAAATGGAATAGCAAAAATAATGTACACTCTTGCCTTGTTGAAACTGTTCTAGCACCATCTGCAGGTTAGAAAGTGACACTGCATACTGGTTGACCTGATCCTGAGCGGAACGGAGCTGAATTAGCGCTTCATCTCTTTGTCTGATAGCACCATTTAACTGCTCCTGAAGAGACTCCACCTGCAGGCTTGCCTGCTGACTACATACATGCACACACATAGAGACATTGGTGAGGCCTTAAACAATACAATGGATACATTAAAAAAAATGGGCTGCAAGCATACAGTATTAAAACATTTTTAAATAGATTGCAGCATTTACATTTTGTCAGAAGCTCCAGTTTATTTAGTTGTCTGTTCAAAGTCATAGGAGATTTTTACCACTATTCGAATAAAAATCATGATTTTCAATTTATCCATGATCGATCTGCTCTAATTGATATGAATTGGTGTGAAAGCAAAAGCGAGGGAGTGTGTTGGAAGCAAACACTGGTTAGGACCAAACAGTCATACCAACAGACAAAAATACTCTGACTCCCACCTTGCGCTCTCCACGGCGTTAGAGGAAGATGCCAGCCGCTCTTCTAGAAGTGTCACTCTGCGTTTCAGCTCTCCCTCTCTGTCTTCAGCTCCCAAAGCCTCACGTGTGTACGAATCCTCAATCTCTAACAGGTGATTGCGCAAACGTTCCACCTCCTGCTTCAGGCGCTGCTCCTTATCACGCATATGTTGCAGCTACACAGAAAGAACATGGGAGTACAATAATTCCTCAATTAGTAGTAATATATTTGTAATTGATGCAATAGGTATTAACAGATAATTGGGAGATGGAAACAGTTCATATTTTCAGTACTTCAGTAAGACAATAAAGCACAGTAAAGATGTGTAATCTTGGTCTTTGTTACCTCACTCTGCAGAGCAGACGTCTCCATTTGTTTCTGTTTGAGGGCCATCATCACTTGATCTCTTTCCTGCTGAAACAATACTGCCTTGTCCTGCATGGACCGAATTTCATTCAACAGTTGGTTCAGCTCACCAGATTTACCCTACAGTACAGACAAAGGCATAAAACGAAAGAAAAAGTGTTATGCCTTCATTGGCATTAACATTATGGAAGTGCATTGTTTCCACTGTAGTTTATTTTGGGAGGTGGGTGAACAGGAAAATTGAACTAAATAAAATTAAAAAGTTACTACCATTCAAAATATTGGGGTGTGTAAATTAATGTATTTTAAAATGAAATGCATTCTTGTGAATTCACAGCTGCTTTTACTCTAGTCTTTAGGTTAACATGATCATTCAAAAATCAATCTAATATTTGCTCAAGTAAAATTGATCAATGTTAAATTACCCTAACATTAAATGATGTAATTTCTGAACCAAAACGGAATTTCTAAAATAATCATTGTTACGAAACCATACAACCATCTCGGCATGTTAACTCTATCCACAACATTGACAGAATTTTCTAGCTTTCCATGTTTATACGGTAGGGGGCGCTACTACACATCTTCTAAAAGAGTACTGAATATCCTGGTCAAAACACATGCAAAGAAGATCTCAAACAATATCATATGCATATGTAAAATAATGTGATTATCAATATTAAACAGCATATAAATCATAACTGCCAAATGTTACTGAATGAAAAGTCGACCGAGGTCTGCCAAAAATACAATTTTCTCAGCTTTTTGCACAAAACATTGCTTTTTTTCAAATGAAACACCCACATTGTCACCAAGTGGTGATAAAAAATAATGCATAAAGCAAGAGTAAAAAGAGGATTTTTTTTGTTTAAAAGCAGAGGGTCTGTTCTTTGTTCATACAACAAAATATTCTCGGAGCCATGAAATATTTGTGAAAATTATCAAAAACACTAGCGATGGCTAGCAAAAAAAATAAATAAATAAATAAATTGGATAAGATATTTTAACAGCACACACAAATAGACAAACCTGCTCTTTATCTTTTAGCATCTTTTCCATGGCAGTGGCCTTTTCATTCACAGCACTGAACTGAAACTCTCGCTCCCGAAGCAACAGTGACACCTGCATGTTGGTCTCCTGCAGGGCACGGAACTCTGTCTCTTTCTCGCGTGCTTTTGCTGCTATCGCTTCATTCTCCTCCTTTAATTTCTTCACATCGAGTTCCAGGATCAGTGCACGCTCTTTGAGGTTCGTCACAGCCTGCTTCAAGACCTCGTTGTCATTCTCACGGTTACGTAAATTTTCACTCACCTAGAGTGTACAGGGGGAAAAAAAAGATAAGATACCCTCTATCTAAGGTCTGCACATCTTACAGCGTTTCCTACCAACAATTCAACAAATCAGAATTATAAGTCACCTGACTGAGCTGGTCTCCCTTGGTCTTAATGAGTAGATCTTTCTCTCTGAGGGAGCGGTGAAGCGATTCTTGCTTCTCTCTGGCATGCTTGAGCTCCTCTGCATGGCTTCTCTGCTCACTTTCAGACAGAGATGCAGAATTTGACAAGCGATGATTGTTTTCCTGCAGAGTTCTTATCATGCTCTCCTTCTCTGCTAATGTTCTCTGCATTGACTGCAACTCTTGATGTACAATCTCATCTTGGCCTGGTAGTGCTGCCTCCTTCAGGTTTGGAGGAGCAAAAGCCTGGGTTGCAATCATAGCAGAAACGTCTGGAGATTGCTTGACACTGCCTAGTTTCCCAAGCAGCACGTCTTTGGTGCTGCTCAGCTGGCTGATGGTCTGCTGCACCTGTGCCAGCTCTTGATTCAACAATCCCAGCCTTTTCTCTTTCTGCTCATAGCTCTGAATAAGTCTGGTGTAATCCACCGATAGCTTTGAGCTGCAGTCGCTGTCGGCAGAAACCTGCCCCTGAAGCTTGAGGAGCTCCTCTTGCAACTGAGCAGATTCATGCTGCATGTTCCTCACCGTTGTGATCACCTGCTGTTTCCACTCTTCCATCTTCTTCACTTGTTGTTTGAGGGTGTCACGTTCTTGTAGGAGCTCCTCAAACTGGTTGCTGCTCACGCCTCCTGAGCCACCGCTCATGGAATCACTGACGCCAGTTGTCTGAAGGACAGAGACCAGGGTCTGACATTTTTGAGTCAAGGCGTCAATCTCGATATCCTTCTCACGGATGATGCGGGAGAGGTTCTGAATGGTCTCTCGAAACATCTCTTGACTGCCTGAAGGGTCGCTCATGGTGGAGAGCCGCTGGTTTTCTTGCTGGAGCTTCAACAAGGCTGCTTCCTTGGCTGCAACGATGTCCATAATTCGATGGTAATCTGAGCGCAGTTGACTGTTCTCCCTGGTTTTCTCGTTGAACACAGCCATCACCTGTTCACGTTCCACCGCATATGCTTGCAGTTGCTGCTGCAGGAACACCACATCTTGACCATGGCCACCAGACACTCGAGCGTGCAGAGCCTGGATTTCTAGATCTTTTTGAAGGACCAATTGTGACAGTTTTCCCAACTCATTTTGAGCGACCACAAGTTGGTCAAGCTGCTTGGTTAGAGAGAGGTTTTTCTCATTTAGCTGGTTAATCTCAGTCTCTTTCTCTCTGATCCCTTTCACTAGTTTCTCAATCTCTACTTTTGAAAGGTCGTGTTTCTCGTTACCATTTTCACCATTCAATGACGGGGTCTTGTCCTCCTGTAGGATTTCTACGTACTGCATTTGACTCTGTCCTCGTGTGCTTAGGCCCTCCACCTCTGACTGAAGCAGTACAATCTCCTCATCCTTAGCACTGATGAGTCTTTCGTAATTGAGAGAGCTTTGTTCATGTCTTGACCGTGCTTGCTCCATTTCACTCTGTAGCACCTGTAGAGAACGCTGGGACTGCAGCATTGTGGCCTGCCGCTCATCCGATACTGTCCTCAGGGCTTGGACCTCTTCTTCGAGCTGATCTCTGGCAGCTTTGAGCTGGGTCACCTCTGCCTCAAGCTCTGTGATGATGTCCAGTGTCCGAGGCTCTGAAAATAACTGCGGTCTGCTTTGCTGGTCCCTCACGCGGTCAATCTCTTCTTTCAGATGGCTGTTTTCTTCCTTCATGGCTCCAAGCTGTTTGTCCTTCTCCTCCACTAACCTTCTCAGAGAGTCAAGCTCAAGAGTTACTCTCAAGACACTGCCCTCTAATTCCTTTTGCATTTCCACAGCTTGAGCTTTCAGGGTTTCGGCAAAGGAGTCCTTCTCCTGCAGAAGCTCTGAGAGTTGATTTTGACCTGCCACAGTGATGTCCAACATTTCGCTGGTGTCTTTGTGGTCGGAAACCATCTGTTCTATCTCACGCCTGAGCTCTGCAATCGTGAGATCTTTCTCTTGATTCAGTTTCACCATTCGCTCATGTTCGGTCTGCAGTGCAGAAGCATCCATAGAGCGTGCTCTGGTCAATTCATCGATGGTTTGTTGATACTGTTTGGCTTGATCTGATAGTCGCTTCTCAGATTGACTCAGCTCAGACTCTAACTGGCTTTTCTCGAGTTTCAAGGCTTCAATGCGGGTATCTTTCTCCAGGGACATCCTGCTTAGAGAGGCTTGACCATCTTGGATCTGCCTTTCCAAACAGTCTATCTTGTCCAAAGCCTGAGTGTTCTCTTCTTTCAACTTGCTATTTTCAATTTTCAATTCAAAGTCTTCTGAAGCAGACTTTTCGAAGGAAGTCTTCATTTCTGCTAGCTCTGTTCTTAAGTCCTGAATCTCTTTATCCCTTGCCTCAAGTTCCTTCCGATGTCCCTCGAACTCATTCCCTTGATCCCCAGAATGACTTAACTCCTCACGAAGTGCAATAAGTTCTGTCTCTCGCTCCTGAAGTGCCCTCTTGAGGTCGGATGACTCCTGCCGCAGTTCTCTGCCCAGATCCTGTGACTTGCACAACTTTTCCCTCAATTCCTTTAATGTGGTTTCCAGTTGCTGCTTTGTCATGTGCAGCTCATTCAAGGAAAAGGCACTTTGACTTAGCTTCTCGCCTTGGGCTTCCAGCTCCAGTTGAAGAGTCCGTCTCTGGTTATGAGAGGAGCTGAGATCTGACTGAAGACGGGCTTCTTCTGCCTCAGCCTGTGTTTTCTGCTTTGACAGCTGGTCCTTCACTGCAATAAGATGCTGGAGTAGCCGAGTAGGAGTAGAAAAATAGAATAAGTATGCAGTATATTAACTTAAATTTCAATTACATTTATCAGATCCAATCATTGTTTTTTTAATGTCTTATAACTATGGAACATTGGCTTAAAAAGAATACCTGTGTGGCCTCCTGGTTCTGCTTGTCCAGTTCTTCCAGTTCAGCACTGAGTGTCTCTATATCAAGATGGGCTTGCTTTAGTGCTTGGTCCCGTCTGTCTAGCTGACTCTTTAGGTCTGAAACTTCCTGAGACAGTTCCACAGCACTCTTTGACTCTTCAGTCCTGTGTCTCTCCTCGGCCAGGTTCAGTCTCTCAACTAACGCAAGCTAAAAATAAACATTTTATGAAACTAGTTTGTCTGAAAAACACATATTACTTTATGCATAACACACAAGTGTCCTTTCAAAAGGCTACAGAAGTATTGTTCACCTTAGCTTGCAAAGATTTTTGTAATTTTACAGATACTGCAACTTCTGATTAAAAACAAGAAAAAAATGGTATTATTGTGTCCCATAACTTTGTTAACCTATTCAAACCTTTTCTCTCTCCATCTCTTCCTTCTCTGTCCTGAGGGTATCAATGATGGTGTTGAGCTCCAGAATGTCAGCATGTTCAACTTCTTCCATAGGACCGCTCTGAAGTAATAATAATAAAAAAACAATGTAAAAATCATTATGACACTCGTGCCATTTGAAGAATAAGCCCAGGTGTATTTCATAGGGCAACCACAAAGTGTCCAAAAACTTTGACTAAATTTTGAAAATGTACATGAATTGTTTTATACTTAAAGGGGTCATTGGGATCAATTGTTTTATACTTAAAGGGGTCCTTGAAAAAAATTCACTTATATGGTGTATATTAATGTGTCTTTGCATTATGTGGACAAAACCAAAAACCAATGAAAAAAATCCATTCACTCCTTTTTTTAATCCTCAAAAAGCCTAAACACGCTCAATAATCAAGCTGTTTGGATTTTCTGAATAATATGTCATTTTGTTCATGCTCCACCCACGGCCACTGACAGACTGACCCATATTACCATATTTCCACCCTCAACCATTTATATACTGTCTGCCAAGGCAGTGCTTTATGTGTCTTGTGTTGAAACGCCCCATGGACAAGAGGGGTGGGGACATGTCGTGAGCAGTTGCTCATTATCATTTAAAGAGACATGCACCAAAAAGGGTTGCTTTTGAGGAGGTAAAAAGGGTGTTGTTTTACACAACCATTAAGGAATTTTAACCAAAGTATGTTAAAAACCCTAAACTGCGCATCCAATGTCCCCTTTAAATCCTAAGCATGAATAAAAATGTCTAAATATTGTTGGGCCACAAACTTCTAGCAGGGGAAGGTTTTCAGCATATTTACCTCAGTAAGACTCTTCAATCTAGCCATCTCTTTCTCTGCATCTAAAAAAAAAAAAAATAGAGAAAAAATAGAGAGCAGAAAAAATAGAGAGCAGTTTTTAAATTTCCCATTCAATAACAATATATGATGTGATAGGATGAACAGAGCCATAACGATCATACACAATTTCTGGGGTTCTCTATACCTGCCAGAGCTTTTTTCAGGGTTTGAATTTCATTGTCTTGCTGGGCTTTCAGCATAGACTTCCCTTCCTGCTCCTGGACTCGATCCTGGAGTTCATTTACAGACTTCTGAAGGCGACTGTAATTTTGCAACAATTCTGTATTTTCTGCGGTAGCCTCCTCCTTCTCCTGCTTCATCTGGGCTTTATGATGCTCTGCCTCCTCCAATCTGACCATTAGGTCTCTGTACTGTTTGTGCTGAAGCTCTGCCTCATCCTGTAAAGACTGAATGGTCGATTGAAGCTCTTGAAGTGTGGCGGAATCCTGCACTGTGGTTGATTTGACAACACTTCCACCCTCTGGGGAAGAGGAAGATAAACACAGCGTTGAACTCAAAGTTCAATTGTTCATTTTTAAGTTAAATCCCAAATACAAATTAAATACAAAATTAATTTCAACTGCATTTAAAAAGTACAAAAAGGTCCAGACTCTAATTTTAATATGCATCAATGCTCCTCCTCACCACTCTGAAGCTGCTCTTCGAGCTCCTCGATTCTCTCCTCATACTCTGCCAGCTCCTGCCTGTGCCGTTTTGAGATTTCAGCCATTTTCTGCCTCTGGGCATCCTGCAAAGCTGCCAGTTCATGCTGGTGCTCATCCACCTCCCGTGCCATTTCGTCTCTCAGCTCCTGTTTGGGTCCGAACGTGAATTAGGTTTAAAAGAGAACCTGATTCTGAGAGCTGCCCAAAAGCAAAGCTCCAACTCTGTTACAGTTCAAAAGGTTTTTCACCTTGATCATTCTTTGCATTTTTAGAACTTCACCCTGGTCTCCATTCCCCTCAACTCCTGGCAGCTTTGATGCCTGGTAAATTAATAGAAAAATAATTCTAGTTCGATAACTATACCATGACATATTTGTTAAACTGTTTGCAAGGTAAAAATGAAAAGTGACCTGTGCAACTCTCCTCCAATGGGCCACATCAGTCTCTAGACGATGCACCTCATTGGAAAGACGGTTAATTTCCTGCTGAGACCACAGGACATCACTGAGGTCGACCTCATCGCCATGGAAGCCTTGATGGACAGCTGAGGACCGGTGCAGAAAGGAAGACGAAGTAGTGGTAGTGGCAGCAGTAGTGACGGGAAGCACAGCGGCATCGGTGAAGGATGAGCTGGTCGCAACTTGAGAAGAGTGTTGGAGTTTCTGAAACTCCTCCTGCAGACAAATCTGACGAGCCTTGAGGTGACTGATCTCCACCTTCACACAAAAACACACATAAAACGATCACTATTGTTCTACATTTTTCTCCTTTTTAAGAGACATTTTTGCACTAATATTAGATACATTTTCAGGTCAGAAAATAGAGCATAAGTGAAGTTAGTTTTGACCCAAACCTCTTTTTGTTGCAGGAGGGTTCTGTTTTCCAATGACTGCTGTTTGATCTGAATCTCTGCTGCCTCTAGCTTCTCTTCCAGCTCAGAGTTGAGTCTCCGCAAGCGCTCATACTAAACCACACAAAAATAAACATACAAAGACAATTTTTAATTTACAAATCTTAGCATTCATTTATAATATTTTGAAATGACTCATCCTGTAATTATTAATTTGTACTCCATTACTGTAGTAGAAATGTCCTTTTAAAGCACACTAAATATTGTTTCATGATAGAATAGAGAAATATCAGCATAATTTAGTTTTTCTGTGCTAAATTAATCACCTCAGATTTTTGAGTTACATATGAAGTCTCCAGTTCTTGAAATCTAGAGCTGGACACCTGTAGCTCAGACCCAGCAGCATCTGTAAGAAAGTAAGATAATATTACGTACATTCTGTACATAAAGCTCAGTTGTACAGAAAATAAGACTGACAAATTCTTTTCATTTACATAAATAGAAAATATTTGTTTAAACATTATGGGAACTTCTGTTCATCTGTAAACTGGCAAACATATCCAAGTCATAGGAAGAGATGAAGATGACTAACTAAACTGACTAACTACAAGACCTCACTGGTTAAAAGGTGAACAATCTTTGCCAAGTGTGTAGAGTAGAGACATAGACCTATTAAATCCACTCAGAGACTACAAAAAATATCACATAGTTTTAAAGGACAGTTTTGTAAATTATTGGGTGACTGTCCCTTTAAATAGCAACATTCCAGAGGACATGGACTTCCTCGCAGCAGCTGCACACCCAGTGCAGAATATTACATGTTTATTACTGAAAAAGTACACTTGGAAATAAATACAGATTGGATTCTGTAGGATTCTTAAGTAAATAACAATAAGTACGAGCACAATATACTGCATTTAAAACTCTTAAGAGTGGAACTGCATTTAAAACTCTTAAGAGTGGAAAAAGGTAACAGCATGTTAGCACCTTGGCAAGCTCTAAACAATAGAGGTCGAACGATTAATCGGTCGGACGATTAATAGGCCGATTTTTGGCATTTTTAACATAATCGGCATCGGCCAATATCCAAGTATATCAAGCCGATTATAAGGCAGGCACATCTATGGGCAGCCTAGTGTTGTCATGGAACACGTGTTTGACGCACCCCCTGCCACTAGAGTCATTTTCCAGCCAAGTGAACAGCAGACAAATCTTATATATAAAAAATTAAATCATTTAAAGTTTTTTTTTCTCTTTTTTGTGATAATTAGGTTATGTCCATATTTCTTTGTCCGTCAACAAACAAAACAAACCAAAAATACGTTTCAGGACATTTTTTGAGAGGATAAAATGTTTTTGTTGAGAAAGTTTGTCTATGTTAAGTAATTATCATTTCTTTTACATTTTATCTTTCAAATAGAGGTTAAAAACCAAGCAAATACCGGCCAAATATTGGTCAAAATAAATCGACAGCATTAATCGGTCATCGGCCGACCCAGATTTCAAAAGATCGGTAACGGCATCGGCGTGAAAAAAAAAACATATCGCTCAACCTCTACTAAACAGTAAAGCTCTATTTCAACAAGGTTCTGTTCAGGTTCACATGACAAACAAGAAACATTTACACACAAAGCAAATTCTGTCTTAACCACACTGCCAAATCTAACACGCATACTAAGATTAAATAACTTTTTTTTCATTATTTAATGCATACAATATTGAGAAACTAAGACTAAGAAACTCATAGCCTCAGGAAATGACAGAACAGTCTGAAAAACATAATTGGGGTGGTGTAGCATAGTGTGTAACAGCAATAACTTTATTACAAGTCCATTATTAGTAAGATAATCCACTTGAAGTATCATGAAGCTAAACCTGGCTCAAGGACACACAATGGCCATGGCTCATTGCTTGAATCTTATGGCGCTTGAACCAGAAATCATTTTAGATAAAAAACCACACAAGTTACCAGCACCTACTAAATAACTACTTTCTAACAAAAACAGTGATTAAGTCACTTCAATATAGACTTTATCTATGACACAAACAAACAACAGTTCACTTTTATGGTGACAATCCCTCACAAGTACTGCCTTGCTCAAGGCAAGGGCACACTGCATGTACTAGGTGGTCTCTGTTGTTGTGGAATGGGACAAACCCCTACCAGGAGTCACACCTGCCACTTCAGCCAAAGAACTGCTACTATGCCATCTGTAACACCTTTACAATTAGTTTCTCCACATCGTTAATGCAATATGACATGAAATAACAATAAACAATACTTTTAAAGTTAATGAAAATAAACAAATCGTTTACATGATTATTCATGTATTAGGAACGAACAGGGATAAACAAAATGTATATTAATAAATTATGTTCAATGGTTTCATCATACCTAATGTTAGTGAACAGAAATCTTTTGCCACACCACTTTTAGGCTTTATTTAGTATAATCTCTTTTGAAAGTACTAACAGGCAGGTCGATGCATCGTGAGACATGACAGATTGACTCAGTCAATCTGTTAGGTCTGTCTGCTTTGCTGGAAGCTGCTGATCAAAGTTCTCAGTGTGTGTTGTGTGTGTGTGTGTGTGTGTGTGTGTGTGTGTGTGTGTGTTCCACTCTTCCAATGGTCAAAAAGGGCATATTTACTTATGCCACCAGTTTTTGTTGGAGTTTTGTTTAGAGTTGGCATAATTAATACAGCCGATATACATCAAGGAACAAGACAAAGATACCCACAAAAGTAGGCCTACTTCATTATTAAGTCCCCATTCACAAGGGAAAACGCTAAAACTAAAACCCAACTACAGCTACATCTCTGATAGGGATTCAACTGCTGTATGCAAACAAACCTTTTACTCTTGTCTTACTATAATTACTTCATCCCATTATATAAGCGCACTGTAGCACCATATGACAATTGCAGAGGATGACAAGGTAATGACAGGCTCAGTCGCTAATCACTTTCAATGCACAGAAAGGAAGATGCAGGTCCCTAACATTTCATTTTGTGTTCCTCAGAAGAAAGTCAGTCATTGAAGTTTGGAATATCAAAATGTAAACAACGATAATTTCTTAGAGGACTTTCTCTTTAATTAGTTCAATTTATTTCAGGAGATGACAATGTAAACAAAATTACATCTTCAAACCTAACAAAACAATCATATCTCAACAATCTGACAAAATCAACTAGTACATTTTACAGAGAAATGAGCTCTCAAGCATCTCTGGACTGACTGTATTCATAAACTAATCAACATATAAAACTGTCACATTCAGCAGTCTAGCCTACAGTTGTGAAAGGAAAAAAAAGTATAACTATAGGAAGTGATATGATCTTCATGACTGTAGTCAACTCACCTCCCACTTCTTCTGCGCTTTCCAGAAGAATATCTTTGGTAAAATTAGAGATCTGTCCGGTAAACGAAGACAAGCTTCCCCCGACCTGACCCAGACTCTGACCCAGGCCAGAGCCCAACCCTCCCAGCCAGGATGACATGACGAGCCGAACCTGATCTAACCCTAAATCACCGACCCGGTGTAGCAGTCGATTCTGTTCCCTACCGGAATTCCTGTTCCCTTTACGCAATCATACTACAAATCATGCGTAGTTGCCGAGTTACCATACGTACCACCAGAACCGAATACGAGCAAGATGCACAACTGGATGTACGGGAAGCCAAAAGGTTCAAAAAGTAGGCTATTGTATTTTTTTTCTACCCGAAACTTGTAGCCCTAATTGAGTTTTCCAATCTGTCAATTCAATCCAGATTATTTCTTTTCACATTTAAAACGTAGCTATTACTAATTTCGATTTCATGTTTTATAGACTGTAAAATACAGCACAGCACTACTTGAACCACAATCATTTCACAGTGGTTTTAATGTCTCATCTTATAAAATAAATAATGCTTGTTTTGAAAGACTGATTTCGTTATAATTGCAAGAAACACATTTATATTCCTTTTTTTTTTTGAGGAGATGTAGTAAAGTTGGCCATCCATTGAAATGGCTTTATTAGCTTTAGTAAAAATAAATCTAAACAACAATTTAGATGGCCCCTTTACAAAGGCCCAATGAAAGATAAGGCCAATTTAAACTGAAATTGCAGGATAGGTTGTTATTATTATTATTATTATTTTGTAATTCAACTTTTTTTTGTTCAACAGTCAAAGCATCAGAGTACATCACATTATTCAGTAATCACCATGTTAGTTGCTGGCAAGTCAATTATAAGAAGGCTATAGCATGGACAAGTATGGGCTTTTTGTTTGTATCAAGTCTTGGTGTATCACTATACCTCGTTCTGTCTGTATTACCTCTCCACTGTGTAGAATAATTATCAATTGGAATTAGGCTACTTGCCATCAATTTGGAAATTGGAGGAACGTCTGCGAATGCGAATTACATATTTATGGTCTTTTTATGTCAAATGGGTATGTTTTGAAGTTCACCTCATACATTTTTGGATCCATTGTTGGAATGTGCCAGCAAGAATAAAAAATTCACGAGACAATGTTGTGTGGTCATCTCCCCAATTTAGAACACCATTTATTAACATGGTTATTTTACTAATTTAATTAGTGCCCTCTGAAATTATTATTTATTATTAGAATTAATTATGATTAGAATGTTATGTTGCACCCATCTATATCTTGCATGTGAAAAATAATAATTAAGGTAGTAATGGCAACATATGGTTTTATTCATATTTATGTAATTATTTTTTATTTTCATACAGGGGACAAAAGGTGTCACCTGAAAATGTGTTTCTCTTGTGACAATAATGTGAAGAACTCTTTTTCTCATGTGTATTTTGGTGACATTGTACTTATTGTAAATATATTTTTATATTGTTTACAAAGTATATCATAAAACTGTCATCTCTGACGTTTGTAATCTTTATAAATAATAATATGACAATAGGCATTGAGTTTGGATGTCAACATGGACACATAAGGCAATTGGTATGGGCACAATTGAACTGAATCGCTATATTCAGACATAATACAAAAACTATGAACAAGTGCAAAATTAATTAAATTAATTCACGGAAATATCATTGGAGTGCGAGAGCCATTTTATTATGCTCCAATAGCAAGACATTTAAATGTTGCGCCAATGCTTTTGGTCTTTTTCGCTTTCCGTACGTCCAGCTAGGCTTCGTTGCAACTGCTACGCATGCGCTGTCAGGGGGAACAGGAATTCCAGTAGGGAACAGAATCGACTGCAACACCGGGCCTTTTACAGCACAGTTGCTCACAGTTGCGAACGAGGGTTTCATGTAACTACAACGTTAATAATTATTATCGTCTTATGTTGGTTTGTTTAATATAAGTAACTGTTAATAATCATTAATAAAAGCAGCAGATCCGGATTCCAGCTGCCTGGTTCAAAACTTCATGACATAAACGAAGACAAAACGCCGGTTTATACGGGTTAAATCCACGGCAATTACGAAGACCTGGTCGCCGGGTTATATCCACATGTGGTCAGGCAGGTTTCTGGTACGGGTTTGTTTTGGGTCGTTGTGTTTTTCACGCGGATAAAGTGCCAGCTCAACCGCGGCCATCACAGCCGGACTGATGATCATCAGTCAGGGGACGTGGATAGCACAGATGGATTATGGGACGGTGGAGGACCAACATAGTGCAGCTCACACTTCCCACGCATCCACAGTGACGCCACTGGACACAACGGGTACTGCAACACAGTGATAAAACTTACTCCGGGACAGCAAATGTAATAATATTCATAAATTATGACATACGGAACGATATATGTAGTATAATTGGTTATGTAATATTTATTCAAAATATATTTTTTTATAGAAATTAATACTTTTAATTAAGCAAGAATGGATTAAAATGATCAAAAGTGACAGCAAAGACTTTTACACAATTAGAAAAACAATCTATTTAAAATGCTGTTCTTTTGAAGCTGTTATTCATCAGAGGCTTCCACAAAAATATTAAGCAGCAGAACTGTTTTTAATGTTGATAATTGATAATAATAATTGTAATAAATGCTTCTTGAGCACCAAATCAGCATATACTGATTTCTGTCAAGTCAGGTCACCTTATTTATATAACGCTTTATACAATACAGATTTGTATCAAAGCAGCTTTACAGGGATAACAGGAAAATGATTCAGTGATGCAAACAATTAGTTTTGGTGTTACAGCAGCTCTAAAAGAAAATAAATTCATTATTCAGCTAAAGTTAGTTCAGTGTTGATTCAGTTCTTAAGGATCACGTGACACTGAAACTTCAGCTTTGCCATCACAGGAATAAATTACATTTTAAAATATATTTAAAAGGAAATAGATATTTAAATTATTTATATTTCACAGTATTACTTTTTTTTTACTGTATTTTGATCAAATAAAAATACATGTGTTATTTTTAAGTATTCATTTATAATATATTTGAGCAACTTCTACATTTTCCTCATTATCTCCCCTCCGATGTCTGTACTACTATATAACAAAGTTACAAAAACAGCTGGGAGAATAAATATTATGTCTGTGTTAATATTTATTAAGATAAATCTGCTTTACAGTATCAGGAATACATTCCGTTATTTCCCTATGACAAAAATAATGATTATATTTGCATGAAATAGAGATGATTAAAAGAAAAGAGATTCTGAATCGATTAAAACCACACCTTTACATTATACCTTAAATATTTTACTTCATACTGCTCTTAACACTCATACCAAACTTTCCTGAAAATGGCCCAAGACAAAATAAATGAGGTGGAATGAGGGAAAATGTGAGAATAACAGAGGGAGAGAGAGAGAAAACATCCAACAACATGTCTGTGCAAATTGTATATGAATGCATATTGAGCCACTGTAGGGCAGCCTGAAATCTCCCTAAGTTGAAACTTTATTAACTTTCACTAATCACAAACAGATTATTTTGTCGTCTTATATATTGAAAGTCCTTCATCTCCCATCAGGATGACTGAGGTGCATCTCTGGTGTGTATGTCAAAAGGACAATCATTACCCAAAGGTGTAGTAGTGCCTGCAACGAAAAACATACATTCAACACATAAATAAATACAAACACACCAAACATACAACATTTTCCCTGAAAGTTTAAATTCTTAAGTTTTACTTTCAAACATTTCTTTAAATGCTGTGAACTCACCATATAAATAATAACAAAGACCCTGGCCATGGGGTAACGTCTGAGAAAGATTCCTAAACGTATACTGAAAGGGGAAAAAACAAACACACAGTTTTATAATGCTATTTGAACACTGTAAAATACATTTAGCAGATATCCAGGGATGCAGTTACCTGAAGCGGTCGATGGTGCTGGCTGCTTTACGAACCTTCCCATACACTCCTGTACCCGGTCCGTCTGCATCACTAAACAGGATTGGGGTGTTCCTCTGCCTGGCACCTGCACACACACAATCATGTTGGGCTGTCGAAAATTAAATGGTTGAATTGATCCAGTTCCATCATGTGGTGCACTGACCTGGTCCCTCAATGGCAGCCATGTTGATGTGTGAGCCATTGTTCGGACCACCCTGCAGGCTCTTCAGCTGCTGTTCCAGCCTCTCCAGCTGAAACACCAGTGAGTTTTTCTCTGTGCCCAGGGCCTCTAACATGGTTTGCTTCTGAATCAGTGTCTCTGTCAGCTGGTGCAAACGGCCCTCCAGCTCCGCCTGACTGCTGTTGCTCAGAGTCTTATTGGTCAGCTAGCAGGAGAATTGTAAAATTTCCCAACAAAATTCAGAAAACTTAGAGTGAGTGCACAGAGGTTTCTTTTGAAGAAGCTTGCTGCAAATCCTCAATTGCTTTTCCGTCCTCATAAATTTATGTCCAGGCATGTGTGTGTGTGGGGTACCTGGTTTCTAAGCTTCTGGATCTCATCTTCTCGGTCTTTGACACGACCCTGAAGGGTGATTTTAGTGCGATGATGCTCTTCCTCAATGTACTGCAGTTCCTGCATTAAAATGAATCAATATTCACTCACTATTCAACATATTCCTGAAGCACAATACACTCTCTCTGAAAACCTGAATGACGCCATCTGAAGTACCTGTTTGGATCTCTCCAGTTCTGCGTCCATGTCCTGTTTGGCTCTGATCTGCTGGGCATGTTGTTCCTGTACTTCAGCCAGCTGTTCTCTCCAGTTCTCGGTCTCATTGAGCGCCTGGGTTTCCAGATCCTAGAGGAAACAGAAGATATCTACTGCGTGTTTACATCTGGATTAGAGCTGGCCGATATACATATTCATATATTATATATATATATATATATATATGATATATTCATATCATTATATATTTTAAATAATTTTGCTGGCATTAAAATTAAGCAACATTGTAAATATTTTGATTTTATAAAATGTTTAAGTGAAAGAATGGAATTTTTGGCATTTATTGCATATAAATGAATATAATTAAATGCAATTTGTAGTTTAGCATGGAATGAAAAATAAATTTGATTAATGTAATATAATAAAATATAGTTTAATTATATATATATATAATAATAATAATATAGAAAAAAAATGCATTTATTGTTTTGCCATTTTTCATCTTAGAATATCATTTATATAGTAAATATAAATATTTATATTTATATAGTAAATATATATTATAAACAAACAAGTAAATATTGCTATTTATAGCCATGTATTATTATAGTGAAATAATTAAATCAAATTGTTTTTTAATTTTAGTGTTTGGAATAATTTTTGGTTCGTCAGCCTTTAAAGTAATTTAAAATCAAACTAACAAATATAAGGAGACACACTAATGTTGCCTAGCCCTGATCTGCATCTGTGCGTACTTTATATCAATAAAATCTACATTTGAGATTGTATATTTTGGAATTTTGTTTGGTGTGTGCGCACCTGTATCTCTGTCCGCAAGCTCTGTATCTGAGCCTGTAGTTTTTGAATCTCTTCTCTTTGCAGCTCTTTCTCATGACGTAGCTCTTCGAGTTCAACTCCAGCCCCGGCCCCCTCCAGCACCTCCAGACCTGAGCCCTCCTTCAGACTGCTGATCAGCTTCTCCTTAGACTAGAAGAACAACACCACACACCCATGATACTTCATACGCTTATCCAACAGAGATAAAAAGTGCCATGAGAATAAAGAAAGAATGATACCTGTAGTATGCGTGAGGCTTTGTTTTTGTAGTCTTGTAGTTCCTGTTTGGTATACTCTGCTGCAGACCGGGCGCTCTTGACCTGTTGCTGTAGTTCCTCAGCTCTCTGTTTCTCTTCCGTCACCCGACGCTCTGCATTCGTTAAAGACTCCGCCAATGTCTGACGCTCGGCCTCCACCTTCGCTAGTCGTGCTGCAAACTCACTCTGTGAGAAAATGGCACGTAACTAAGACCTGCCAGGTCCATCTGTTAATCTTCAGGTCCTACAGAAGGTCTTCGGACCTATCGACCTTATTCTGCTCTAAACAATGTGCGCTGCCATGACGACGACTCCGGTTGCCAACTTCCGGTTTCGAATCTGGTCTATATGCTTTTTTGCCATGTGTTTCAGACTGTGTCATCCCCACATCGCTAAACTAAATCGAAAAAAAAACATTCATCAAATGTGATCTGATCACATTATTTTTTATTAAATCACAGATAAAAACAAAATGAACTTTTTTCTTTTCTTCATAACTTCCAAATGATAGCTGATGCATGACTGCACAATCTCCCTAATCCAGCAATACATGAACATCCGACAGTCTCTATCACCCCCGACTTCTGCTGTAGAATGAGACTAGAGTCTTTATGAGACCAGAGTCCAGTTTGAGCGCCAGCGCCTCCGTCATGATGATCTTTCTAATATATTTGCTTCTTATTTAATAAAACCAGGCAATTGGTGGATAAAACATTGATTGAAATTAAGATACAATTAATAAAAAACGAAATTCACTTTAAAGAAAGGCTTTGTGGTTTCTCTTTAAGATCTCTGTGAAAGATTTAAAGTCGCTTTCAGAGCGGTCATGTCCATAATGGAGAACTGTAACGTTCGTAGCATTGATTTTTTTTATTTCTCATAAATGCGAGAACGAAAAATAAAATAAAAAGAATATTTTATGTTCTGTGGAGGCCGACCCTTCTTCATCCAGTTAGTGGGCTATTACTTTTGTTTTGCAGGGTGTAATTAATAGAATTACTAAAAAATATTTTGCCACCTAAAAGTTCAAGATTTGTTGTGTTAGGTGTATTTCGCTCATATTAAAAATAAAACGCACATGTAGACTGATATTTTTCGGACTAGAGTGCTAGCATCCTATGTGAACAAATACTTCAACGGATTTAGTTAGTTGAACCCGCTATGAATCATGGGAAATAGAACGGGCGCAGAATAAGGTGGATAAAGATTGTAACATAAATCCTGTTTTTTTCAATGGCCCCATTTACACCTGCCAACTCACCTGCATCTGTCTGTAGCTTTCCTGTTCTCTCTTAACTGCTGATTCTGAGTCTCTTACTCTTTCCTGTAATGTCTGTAAAGCCTGAGACTGAAGACTGCTCCCGTCACTCTGATCCTGAAGAATCCTAAAACACAAAATGGCTTTAGAAGTTTGTTTATTCACATACAGTAAGAGAAGATATGGATTAACTGTGATGTTCTGCTTCTTTGAGTTGTTGAAGAGACCAACCTGACCCTCTCGCTCTGAGCTTCTTCAAGGGCTGAGCTTCGGGCCTTCAGTAGCTGATCTGCCTCGTCCAGTCGCACTTTC